TAATGGGATTGCTGGGTCAAATGGAATTTCTATTTCTAGGTCCTTGAGGAAGTGCCACACTGTCTTCCACAATGGTTGAACTAATTTACACTCCACATCCTCTCCAGCATCTGTTTCCAGATGTTTTAATGATTGCCATTGTAACTGGCATAAGGTGGTATCTCAATGTGGTTTTGATTTGCATTTCTGTAATAATCAGTGATGATGAGCATTTTTTCCTATATTTGTTAGTCCTCATATATGTCTTCTTTTGAAAAGTGTCTGTTCATTCCTTTGCCCACTTTTGGATGGGTTTGTTTGTTTTTTTCTTGTACGTCTGTTTTAGTTCTTTGTAGATTCTGCATATTAGCCCTTTGTCAGATGGGTAGATTGCAAAAATTTTTTCCCATTCTGTTTGTTGTCAGTTCACTCTAATGATTGTTTCTTTTGCTGTACAGAAGCTCTGGAGTTTAATTAGGTCCCACGTGTCTATTTTGGCTTTTGTTGCCAATGCTTTTGGTGTTTTAGTCATGAAGTCCTTACCTATGCCTATGTCCTGGATGGTTTTGCCTAGGTTTTCTTCAATTTTTTTTTATGTTGTTAGGTCTTACGTTTAAGTCTTTAATCCATCTGGAGTTAATTTTAGTGTAAGGCATCAGGAAGGGGTCCAGTTTCTGCTTTCTGCACATGGCTAGCCAGTTTTCCCAACACCATTTATTAAACAGGGAATCCTTTCCCCATTGCTTTTTTTGACTGGTTTGTCAAAGATCAGTTGTTTGTAGATGTGTGGCATTGCCTCCAAGGCCTCTGTTTTGTTCCATTGGTCTATATCTCTGTTTTGGTACCAGTACCATGCTGTTTTGATTACTGTAGCCTTGTAGTATAGTTTGAATTCCAATAGTGTGATGCCTCCTGCTGTGTTCTTTTTGCTTAGAATTGACTTGGCTATGCGGGCTCTCTTTTGGTTCCATATGAAGTTCAAGGTGGTTTTTTCCAGTTCTGCGAAGAAGGTCAGTGGTAGCTTGATAGGGATAGCGTTGAGTCTGTAAATTACTTTGGGCAGTATGGCCATTTTCATGATATTGATTCTTCCTAACCATGAACATGGAATGTTTCTCCATCTGTTTGTGTCCTCTCTTATTTCGTTGAGCAGTGGTTTGTGGTTTTCCTTGAAGAGGTCCCTTATGTTCCTTGTAAGTTGTATTCCTAGGTATTTTATTCTCTTTGTAGCAATTGTGAATGGCAGTTTGTTCTTGATTTGGCTTTCTTTAAGTCTGTTATTGGTGTATAGGAATGCTTGTGATTTTTGCACATTGATTTTATATCCCGAGACTTTGCTGAAATTGCTTATCAGTTTCAGGAGATTTTGGGCTGAGATGATAGGGTCTTCTAAATATACAATCTTGTCATCTGCAAATAGAGACAATTTGACTTCCTCATTTCCTAATTGAATACCCTTTATTTTTTTTCTTGCCTAATTGCTTTGGTGAGAACTTCCAAACTATACTGAATAGGAGTGGTGAGAGAGGGCATCCTTGTCTAGTGCTGGATTTCAAAGGGAATGCTTCCAGTTTTTGCCCATTCAGTATGATATTGGCTGTAGGTTTGTTGTAAATAGCTTTTACTGTTTTGATATATGTTCCTTTGATATCTAGTTTATTGAGAGTTTTTAGCATAAAGTGCTGTTGAATTTTGTCAAAGGCCTTTTCTGCATCTATTGAGATATCATGTGGTTTTTGTCTTTGGTTCTGTTTATGTGTGGATTACGTTTATAGACTTACATATGTTGAACCAGGCTTGCATCCCTGGGATGAAGCCTACTTGGTCGTGATGGATAAGCTTTTTGATGTGCTGTTGCAATCAGTTTGCCAGTATTTTATTGAAGACTTTTGCATCTGTGTTCATCATGGATACTGGTCTGAAGTTTCATTTTTTTGTTGGGTCTCTGCCCGGTTTTGGTATCAGAATGATGTTGGTCTCATAAAATAATTTGGGAAGGATTCCTTCTTTTTGTATGGTTTGGAATAGTTTCAGAAGGAATGGTACCATCTTCTCTTTGTACAACTGGTGGAATTCAGCTATGAACCCATCTGGACCTGTACTGTTTTTGGTTGGTAGGCTATTAATTGCTGCCTCAACTTCAGCCCTTGTTATTGGTCTGTTCAAGGTTTCAGCTTCTTCCTGGTTTAGGCTTGGGAGGGTGCAAGTGTCCAGGAATTTATCCATTTCTTCCAGGTTTACTGGTTTATGTGAATAGAGTTGTTTGTAATAATATGATAGTTTGTATTTCTGTGGAATCAGTGGTGATATCCCCTTTATCATTTTTTATTGCATCTGTTTGATTCTTCTCCCTTTTCTTTTTTATTAATCTGGCTAATGATCTGTCTATTTTGTTGATCTTTTCAAAAAACCACCTCCTGGGTTTATTAATTTTTTTGAAGATTTTTTTGTGTCTCTATCTCCTTCAGTTCTGCTCTGATCATAGTTATTTCTTGTCTTCTGCTAGCTCTTGAGTTTTTTTGATCTTGTTCCTCTAGCTCTTTCAATTTTGATGAGAGGGTCTTGATTTTAGATCTTTCCTTTCTTCTCATGTGGGCATTTATTGCTATAAATTTCCCTCTAGACACTGCTTTAAATGTATCCCAGAAATTCTTGTACATTGTGTCTTTGTTCTTGTTGGTTTCAAAGAACATCTTTATTTCTGCCTTCATTTCATTGTTTATCCAGTTGACATTCAGGAGCCAGTTTTTCAGTTTCCATGAAGTTGTGCAGTTTTGAGTTAGTTTCTTAATTCTGAGTTCTAACTTGATTGTCCTGTGGTCTGAGAGACTGTTATGATTTCCATTCTTTTGCATTTGCTGAGGAGTGATTTACTTCCAATTATGTGGTCGGTTTTAGAGTAGGTGTGATGTGGTGCTGAGAAGAATGTATATTCTGTGGATTTGGGGTGGAGAGTTCTGTAAATGTCTGTTAGATTTGCTTGGTCCAGGTTTGAGTTCAAGTCCTGGATATCCTTGTTAATTTTCTGTCTCATTGATCTGTCTAATATTGACAATGGGGTGTTAAAGTGTCCCACTATTATTGTATGGGAGTCTAAGTCTCTTTGTCAGTCAGTAAGAACTTGCCTTATGTATCTGGGTGCTCCTGTATTGGGTGCATGTATATTTAAGATTGTTGGTTCTTCTTGATGTATTAATCCTTTTACCATTATGTAATGCCCTTCTTTGTCTCTTTTTATCTTTGTTGGTTTAAAGTTCATTTTATCAGAGATTAGGATTGCAACTCCTGCTTTTTTTTGCTCTCCATTTGCTTGATACATCTTTCTCTGTCCCTTTATTTTTAGCCTATGTGTGTCCTTGCACATGAGATGGATTTCCTGAATACAGCAAACCAATGGGTCTTGACTTTTTTTCCAATTGGCCAGTGTGTCTTTTAATTGGGGCATTTAGCCCATTTACATTTAGGGTTAATATTGCTATATGTGAGTTTGATCCTGCCATTTTGATGCTAGCTGGATGTTTTGCCCATTAGTTGACACATTTTCTTCATTGTATCTATGTTCTTTACTATTTGGTACATTTTTGGAGTGGCTGGTACTGGTTGTTCCTTTCTATGCTTAGTGCTTCTTTCAGGAGCTCTTGTAAAGCCAGCCTGGTGGTGATGAAATCCCTGAGCAATTGCTTGTCCGTAAAGGATTTTATTTCTCCTTCACTTTTGAAGCTTAGTTTGACTGGATATGAAATTCTAGGTTGAAAGTTCTTTTCTTTTAGGATGTTGAATATTGGCCCCCACTCTCTTCTGACTTGTAGGGTTTCTGTGGAGAGATCCTCTGTAAGTCTGATGGACTTCCCTTTGTAGGTAACCTGAAGAGAAAGTGACCTTTCTCTCTCGCTTCTCTTAGCATTTTTTCCCTTCATTTCTACCCTGGTGAATCTGATGATTATGTGCCTTGAGGGTGCTCTTCTTGAGGAATATCTTTGTGGTGTTCTCTGTATTTCCTGGACTTGAATGGTGGCCTGCCTTGCTAGGTTGGGGAAGTTCTCCTGGATAATATCCTGAACAGTGTTTTCCAGCTTGGATTCATTTTCTCCATCACATTCAGGTACACCTATCAAACTTAGATTAGGTCTTTTCACATAATTCCATATTTCTTGGAGGATTTGTTCATTTCTTTTCACTCTTTTTCCTCTACTCTTGCCTTCTCATTTTATTTCATTGAGTTGATCTTCAGTCTCTGATATCTCTTCTTCTGCTTGGTCAATTCTGCTATTGAAACTTGTGTATGCCTTGTCAAGTTCTCGTGCTGTGTTTTTTGGCTCCATCAAGTCATTTATATTCTTCTCTAAGCTGTTTATTCTAGTTAGCATTTCGTCAGACCTTTTTTCAAGGTTCTTAGTTTCTTTTTATTGGGTTAGCACATGTTCTTTTAGCTCTAAGAAGTTTGTCATCACCCACCTTCTGAAGCTTCTTTCTGTCAATTCATCAGATTCATTCTCTATCCAGCTTTGACCCCTAGCTAGTGAGGAGTTGTGATCCCTTGGAAGAGGAGAGGCATTCTGGTTTTTGGTGTTTTCATCCTTTTTGTACTGGTTTCTTCCCATCTTCATGGCTTTATCTACCTGTGGTCTTTGTAGTTGGTGACTTTTGGTTGGGATCTCTGAGTGGACATCCTTTGTGTTGATGTTTAAGCTATTTCTTTCCATTTCTTAGTTTTCCTTCTAACAGTCAGGCTCCTCTGCTGCAGGCTGCTGGAGGTCTACTCCAGACCTGTTGCCTGGGGATCACCTGCAGGGGGTGCAGAACAGTAAGGGTTGTTGCCAGTTCCTTCTTCTGTTATCTTCATCCCAGAAGGGTACGTGCCAGATGTCAGCATGAACTCTCCTTTATGAGGTGTCTCTTTCGGTATATGGGGGTTGAGGAGCTGCTTGAGGAGACAGTCTGTCCCTTATAGGAGCTCCAGTGCTATGCTATTGAAAGTAATTATGCTTCATTTTCTCATATTCACTCCTCTTTTATTCTAGATAAACTCTGGAAACAGATAGAGCTCCGCAGAGCAGCTGGGACATTGTGGCCAGAGAGAATCCTTGGCTCAAAACTTAGATTTCTGGAGTCTCGTGAATTCCTCTGCAGGAGATGTGTAACTAAGAATACGTGGTCTGAAGTGACTTCGATGATTCTCTACTCCAATCTCCTTGTTTTTCAAATAGAGCATCTAAATGCTTCATATTTTGTTCCAAAGTGCTATGGTTTGAATGTGACTCTCAAAACACATGTGTTGGAAACTTAATCTCCAATGCTACAGTTTTGCGATGTGGGGCCTAATGAGAGGTGATTAGACCAAGAAGGTGGGGTGAATGGATTAGTGCTGTTATTATGGGAGTGGGCTTGTCCTTGCAGGAGTAGTTTCCTTATGAAAGTGCAAGGTTAGCTATTTGGCTCCACCCCTCCCCTCCCCTCCCCTCCCCTCCCCTATCCTCTCTCCCCTCCTCCTCCTCCTCCTCCTCCTCCTCCTCTTCCTCCTCTTCCTCCTCCCCCTCCTCCTCCTCCTCCTCCCCCCCTCCTCCTCCTCCTCCTCCTCCTCCTCCTCCTCCTCCTCCTCCTCCTCCTCCTCCTTCTTCTTCTTCTTCTTCTTCTTCTTCTTCTTCTTCTTCTTTCTTTCTTTCTTTCTCTCTCTCTTTCTCTCCCTCTCACCTTCCACTATCGGATGATGTAGCAAGAAGTTCCTTGCCATATGCTGGCCCCTTGATCTTAGACTTCCCAGTCTCCAGAACTGTAAGAAAATTAATTTCTATTCTTTGTAAATTATCCAGTCTATGGCATTTTAAAAAGTAATAGCACAAAATAGACTAAGAAACAAAGGAATGGAAAATGATTTTGGGGTTGGAGTCCTGGTGGTCCAACAAGAGTGATTGCCTCCCATTTCCCTGGGTGAAGAGGAAGAAACTCATGTGTGCCTCCTAGGAAACACCGTGTTATTTTGTTGGGTTTCTTATTCTCCACCTGCTTGCCACCTGTGTTCACTGCTAATCAGGGGCCCCAGCCGAAATATGGTAGTGTTGGGAAGAAGAAGTCTTGTACAATGAGATTTGATGTCCCTGTCCCACACAGACATGATCCCACTCTCAGAATGTGACCCAGTCTCTATCTGCCAGAAGTTCTGGCAGAAGAGCAGAGTTTCAGCACTATCTTGGGCCCTAGAATGGAATACATGGATTTCCCAAGGCAAAAAAGGACTGGTGGACGACCCCCAGTGAGAACTGGAGATCTCCACCCATTCTGCAAGGTGTTTCAGATGATGGCTGGAGGCAGAGGATGATGCACTTCTATCTTAGTGAATTTCTAGTGTCTCAGAGCCTCTGGCCTGTCCATAGAGCACAACTGTGCCTGTTCAGGGGGTGGCTCTAAAACATCCACTTTTATTCTCTCCTTCCCAAGAAACCTGGCCCTGCTCTTTGTTCAGATGATGAGGGGAACAGACAGGGATTGAGTAGAAGAGAAACAGATGAGGTTTGGAAATCGTCAATGGATTTATTAGGTAGACTATGAAGGTCAGCTAGGCAAGTATCATTGATCCTATTTTACACACGGAAACTGTGAGGATTAGAGAACATGTTGGCCAAGCTCCTTAAAGGTTGTAGGCAGAGACACACTAGGTCAAATTCAAAGATCAGTTCCTGGGGTTTATTTCAGACACATGAAGGAACGTGGAGTAGACTGGAATGTGGTCACTACAGCAGAGCAGCATAAGGAAACCTGGGCTTCCAGAACTGTGGGGTACAACACTGAGCAAACCCTTCACCTCATTTAGGATTCACCATGGTTTCCAGGAACTTGACTTCTTATATATGAATTTTAATTTACCTAGTCCTTGTGTTAGGATGTTTCCAATTGCAGAAAACAAAAAAGAGTCTCAAGCTGATTTAAATGATAGAGACATTTAAATCTCACATAAAGAAAGCTTAGAGGTAAGACAGACTCTCTGCCAAATATCTGGATTGCTCTTTGTGTGTGTAGTTTGCTCTTCTCTTTTCCTCTGGAAGGTTTGGTGTTGGCTCAGGCTGTCTTCCTTCATGGTTTCAAGAGGGGCTGCCAGGAGCAGCTGGGGAGTGTGCTTTCTTAGTTCATATATAGGCAGATAGGGAAAGCTTGGAATAAAAATCCCTCCTTTCCACCTGAATTGACCACCTTAGGCTGTGTATACTCACTTATGGACAACTAACATTGCCAGGGGAATACCCTGTGGTGATTGGCCTATACCTGAGTCCTTGAAGCAAACACTGGTCAGGAAGATGAGATTACCAGAACCCGCATCTGAAGGCACACAGGGTAAGAGGGGGAGGGTAGACACGAATAAAATTGAAGTGTCCTAGGAGAGAGAAAGGGGCGAGAGTTACTCAACAGATATCCAAGAGAGTCCACCACACCTAGCATTTAAGCATCCAAAGAGAGCTGTCAGGACCCGTGTGCCTGCTGTGAAGATGTCACATTGTCTCATCTCTGAGGTTTTTGGTCTTTTCCACCCTCAGCCAGCTGATACGGCTGCTCCCTTCTTCCTGGCCCAGAAAGTTGTGATGGGGTGGCAGTGTTGTTTTTTCTCAATACCTGAGGCATAAGCTGTAGTAACTTTTGCAGGAAATGACTTCATAAAGTGATTTTCCTCCAAAAGGAGCTACGTAACTGGCAGACTCCTGGGGCTTCCCTGTGGACTGGGTTCCAAAAGGTTCAGTCCCTTACCCAAGGTCATGTACTGTTGATTGTCAGAACCTGCACTAGAGATGGGTCTTTCCATTATACCAGGAAGGTGTCGGTGTGGTAGAAACAATGTCAGCCCTTTGGGGCTAAGCCCATGTGTAAAGAATGCGAATTTCCACCTTGGGCAACGTCCCTAATTTTTCTAGGCCCCAGTTTACACAGTGATATAGTAAGGGAATCTTACTGGAAAATATGGAAAGTACCTTCCAATTCTAAGAATGTATAAATAGCTTTAGATCATGGGCCTCTTCCAAGAACCTGACAACACTTGTTCTATTAGACCATTGAACTACAGATTATTTATTTAAATACTTTCCCAGGAGTGACCCAGAACATCCTACTTAATAAATGAGTTGTTAAATCATAAACAATATGGACAGGACTCATCATCATTATGCTTCTCAACCGAACATCCCTGGGGCCTTCTGGTTGCTTGGACACTCTGCCTAATGGAGTGTTGTCAGGGATTCCCTATGTGGGTGACCACCTTTCCAAGAATTAGAAACAACAGACTATGACAAACACTAGAGATCTGCTGGAAAAAAATGTGCTCTGTATGTGTTGGGGGGTGGGGGGCAGGGGTGGAGGGGGAGAATGAAATGGAACTATGAAAAACCAAAGAAATGTGCCTGCGTTCTTCTTTTGTCTCCCTTCCTTTCTTGGCGTCCTTGTTATCAGCCCCATACCACATCACTGTCAAGCTGTCAGCTTGTGGCTCACTAATTCCTACTTAACTAGCTGAAGTTTAGAGTGCTGTGTGTCCTGGAGTATTCATAGGAAATTCTAAAGCCTCCAGACTTAAAGGAATGTATGTAGGAAGGTGTAAGTAAGTGTAGCCTATCATCCCCAATGAAGCATCCCCCAATTTTTTTTCCCCACAGTTTTACCCCAAAACTCTTGTCTTGGGTCTCTTTGGCTTGCCTTGAGTCAGTGCTCATTGCTATGACTTTGATTGGCCAGGCTCAAGCCAGGGGGTAAGAGCAGTGGAGTTAGGTACATCCTACCAAAGGACTGAGGATCTGGGACCAAGGGGCTCCCTAAAGCACATCCACAAAGGGAGGAGGTGACTTTATCCTAATGTCACAGACCAGTGGGAAGACAGCGCCTACCAGGAAAGCTTTTCAGAACTTGGGGTGTAAGCCCAGGAAGGCAGCCATATGTTCAGGTGGGACAGCCTGCTGTTCTTCCTTTTAAGATGGGACCTCAGAAAAGGTGAGGGTCCCTCAGTGTACACGGCAGAGTGGCAGGAAGGCCTGGGGAATGCAGCTGGGGAAGCGGTAACTGTTGAATTTAGTCTGGGCTGCTTACATGGAAATATCCACTGCAGTCTGAGTCATCTTTGCATCTACAGCTCAGAAAGGTGGAATCGTGCCCAGCAGGAGCCAGGATCTGCAAATAAAGCCGCCATCAGGTATACCATGTCCTAGAAGCATCTTAATGAGAGAGTGTGGCGCTGTGGTCAGCTGGCCGCAGGGTCACTGTAGTGCTCTGGATTTGCCAGCCCCTGCTGTCTGCTTTACCATGGCATATGTTAGCTCACGCAGGCTGACAATGCACCCCAGCAGGTCTCCGAGATACCTATAGAGGCTTTCCTCCTTCCGAGCCCTCCTGGTAGCATGGCCGCCTGTCCCCATTGCAACTTGTTCTGCAGTGCAGGGAACTGGGATGTTGCCAACATTCAGCTTTGTTCTTTGTATTAATGGAGACTTTCTCAGAGAGATCTGAGACCACCTCTGACACAAGGTCTCATCTAGTTGGGACAGTGGAGATGAGCCCTCCCCTTAATTTCTAGGGGGCAACTCAGTGACTCTTACCACCTTCTAGGTAAAAGGAAAGAGAACCCATCAAACACCATGATCCTGAGCCTAAACCCATGGGCAGTCATGGATTCCAGTGTCGGGGGAAACCAAAACTGTACGAGGGGCATTTGGTTATTTAGTTCTTGTGTTAAATTTTTTGCAGATGGAGGGGACTAGAACCCAGGACTTTGAAAGTATCAGTCACTGTTTTCCTTGCTTATTCCACCTCCCTGTTGACGTTCTCCAAGTGAAGTGACAGTGTAAAACAAGACAAAGGCACGGACAGCAAAGAGCACGGGGCTGGGAGCTGTGCGCCCATTTTTAGGTTGAACACGGGTCTCTCCTTGTGTTTCTTGATTGTAGGGTTGGAAATGCCAGCGCCACAGGGCGTGTTGGTCTTCTCGCTTGTTTCTCTTTGTACTTTTTTCCTGGAGGGCAGCTAAACTGAATCACAGAGAAGAGGTATCCCAGGTCACAAGCCACGTCCTGGCTAAAGGAGGTGGGAGAGAGGTAGTGGTCACACAGACATTTTCTTCTAGAAAACTCTAGAAGCACTTCTCAGGCTCAGGGGAGGCAATTTTGATTCCGTCCATGGAGGAATGTTTATAATCCAGAGTTGTTCCTCTGTGAAACGTGCTGCTTAGTGAGGTAGTGAGCACCCTGTAGGTGGAGGTGATCAAGCAGAGGCTGAAGCACCGGCAGGCAGGCTTGCTCCTTCATAAGAGTCCATGACTCAGGAGACTCCCCTAGGCCCAAGATCCACTGGGCTCAGAAGCTGTCCTTTCTCCTTGGTCCTGGCCTGGCTCAGATGCTGTAGCTAAGGCTCAGGAAGTACAGGCCC